GGGGCTGGCAGTGGGCATGAACTGGTCGCCAACGGCCAACTCACTGACCAGCACAGTAACAGCAGCCCCTGAAGTTTCAGGTCACTGCTGCAACTGGTGTAACCACGCGTGTTTTTTCGTTTCTTTTCCTTTGCCCTTCCCGTCGCCGCTGCGCCTCGCGGTTCCCCTAACAGACGGGCAGACGCGTTCATGTCGCCCACGCGGCACATTGACCGTCGCAACCGCCGTCGTCAGTGGCGTCAGGCTTGGAGGGAAATAGCACCACCACCCACCAAGGCCCTCGAGAATAGGACCCCTGCCCCCGTATTGGTTTTCTCGACTGATCTTTTCCAATAACTCCACTCTCGTCAATTGCGGGATTCAAACTCAATGATCCATCGCCCCAGGTGGTATCTGAAAGGGATCCCACTGGTATTACCAAAATGTGGGTATTTGGTATTTGTGCATTTCAACGTCCATCCCGCGGGCGGCCGGTCGCAATAAATTGTGCATGACCACGCACCGGGACTCAGCTCCGGTTCAATAAGACGGTAATCGCCATAACAGAGAGAGAGGGGGCCCCGTTTTGTGTCCCTCCATCATTTCCCACGCCCCTCCTTCTATCCAGGTTGCACAAGTCAGTCGGGTTCTCTCAAAAATAACAAACCCGGGGTTAAAGCGATTGACAGCAAGCAGCAGGGCACGATGAGTCTGGAAGGTGTTGGAAGCTTTGGTCGTGGGGGAGAGAGGTGGCCGGGCGACAAGAAGAGAGTGAGGGAGGGTGCTGAAAATAGCCAATTACAATTATAACAATAGTTAATAGCATGATACATAAGGTAACGTTTCTCGGGGCAGAGGTAGTTGAGGAAACAATCCGGTGGCCAATCCGACCTTGTCACCTGGAACGTGCCTCGTCCTCTGCCGAGGTGTGCCCACCACTCGTGTCAAGGATCGCCCAATGTCACGTATAGTTGGGCAAAGAGTAGTACTGTTGCAATGACTGACCGAGACCCCTCAACTTGCCGCCTTTTCTGTCACACAAATCTCCCCAGGACTGGAGAAAGCATCAACGTGGGCGGCGTTGCAAAACAAAAAAGCAACTGCCGCAGTCAAACCGTTTGTGGACTGTGGGTCGGCCGTGATCCCCTCGCTCCCCCAAAAAGCAAAAAGCAAAAAGCTCGCCCCCCACAAGCCGACGACGCCACAACGATTTGAACGTGGTCCGGCGAGGCGCCTGCCGGTTCCGGATGGCTGGATGGCCGGACGAGCTGCGAAATGTGGGCGGCCCGCTAGTCAGCACCCAAATTGCACCCATGCTCCCCATCTCCCCATCCTGGGTGTCCTGCGGTGGCTATTATGTTTTGTTTTGTTATGGATTTCCTATAGTCGTTTGTGACCCGGTATGGATGGGGACGGCGGCGGTTGATAACCCCGTCCTCTGGATGCTATGTCGCCATCAACTAAGCGTGGGGCCACGACACAAAAAAAGAAGGGGGTTCCTCGCCAGGCCGGCTAATGGGCCGAAGTCCGGGAGGCGCAATCCGCTGTCCCATTATGCAAAAACGAACCACACATGAGCTGACCTGGTGTCTGGTGTCGGACCTCACCGAGATATAGAAGCGCTATCCCACGTGGGCACGGATGACCTCCTTTCCCTGTGCTGCTTTGACACGGCTTGGCGCTCTCTCTAGAAAGGGTGTGCATAGGCATGTGTGTCTGTGTATATGTGATGTGTCGATTTTTCCTATCCGTCGCCGTCGTTTGTAGTTTTTTTTTTTTGTTTTTTTTGGCCGAGGCCGAATCCCCCTCGCTTCGACTCGGTTTCCCCATCTCCCCATCTCCGCTATCGCCATCCTCCTGCCGCATCTTGCTTGTATCGCCCCTCATACTCCTCCTCCTCTATCAACCCCTCACTTCGCTGCAATACGGGACACTTTAAAAGACGCACCGTCCTGACTCTTCGCCCATGCTCGATGCACACCATCTCGGCGCGCAAGGGGAGAGCTCAAATCGTGTGTAGATAACCTGGCCAAGGAGCAAAATCCTGTCCACCTCCTCGCCCTGCCCTTTCTCGCCACCAGGAAAGTAGGCCATTGTCTGTTGCTGATTGAGTTGACGGGAGCGAGGCCCACGACGGCACAGAGGAAAAGCCAAAGTAAAAAAAAAA